GGCTCACTTTCGGAATGCGGCAACCATAGAGGAATCAGTCTGATCCCCATCGCCTCCAAATTACTTGCCTCCGTAATCCTTCGCCGACTGACTGGCGCTCGTGAAAGCCAGATTCGGGAGGAGCAAGCCGGGTTTCGTCGGGGTCGTGGATGCATCGACCACATCTTCACCTTGCGACAGTTGTTGGAGCACCGTCACACATATTGGCGGCCCACCGTAGTCGTGTGCCTCGACAACAAAGGTGTCTTGGATTCGGTTGATCGATGTGCCCTTTAGAACTGTCTACTCAGGAAAGGTGTGCCCGAGAAATATTTAAATACTATCATAGGATTATACGCGCGTAGCACGGGTAGAGTGAAGGCTTACGGCAAACTCTCGCCACCCTTCAATATCTCCAGCGGTGTGAGACAATGATGCCCGTTGTCACCTTTCCTCTTCAACTTCGCTGTTGACGAAGGCATGGAGATTGCATTTACAAAACACGACTTAGCAGTATGCAGGTGACATTACCCCCATCTGCGACAGCTCATAAACGCGCCAAACTGCACTGGACAGATTAGCACTGCTGGCCACATGTAACGCCAATTGACTGAAAACGATTCATGCAGTATTTAAATGGGACGGACGTCGCACATTAACAACAATTGATCGTGTGAGTGGTTATCAAAAGTACATGGACGGGTTGGATGAAACATCAACAAGGATAATGTCAGGCTAACACACACGCGTGCGTCCACCACACAAACCCTTACGTTTATATGATGGGATTTGGAATACGCTGGAATACATTGGAATGTTGAGAGCAGGAGAAGGATGCTTTGTCAGCTCCACCGGTTCCGAATCATCACAGTATGGCATATGATCTCTCTTATTTTGCGCAATGACGCATACAATGCGATTTCATCGGCAGTCCTTCTCCACAAACACGTGCAGCGAGTAGTCTCTTAATTGGCATACACGGCAGCACGTAACCATCATTTCGTTTGATATACACCTACGTTTTCTTGAGAGACTGAGCAACACTGTCATCCTGTCATGTTACACCGTCACGGTCACTATTAAACAAATTAGACAGCGTGCACCCCACTTGGTTCCTGCAATTGCTATCAAGACTGTGACGGGAGTAGTCTGTCAACGACAGCTTTTCTGGACTCATTTATGCAGAAGTAGCATCTCATATTTTCACCGTCTAATTGTGACGAATGCTTATTTTGCTAAGGTGGTTTATGTGAAGGTAACATTAAGTCTATAACAGCGTTGTCACTAACCCTTTTATCATTTGCTGGGATAACATTAAGCAACTGTCGAAGCGCCACCAACATTTGAACACGGTAGCCAACGCATTATGCACTGCTGTCGAGATGTTGCAAACCACCAGCCAAAAACGTCGGCAGCGACCCAATCTGAACTGAGCGCTGTCAAAATCGCCGGGGATAATTAACATATTTCAACGGCACATGCACCGCTATGCGTCCTCACGTCGTATTCACACCCCCAGACATGCGTGGGTGAGTAAATACGGTAGACTTACATGCCATTGGTGGGTCGGCAAACTAGTGCGCTCCAATCTCACCCTGACCTGCGCGGCTGATCTACGGCGACTGACCAGAATCGAAAGACTCTTATCAAACGTACGGTAGTTCATGAGAGAATGATCTAACTGAAAGATCTTAACTATAGCAATTACTAGATGCGGAAAAACTCGCTTGTTGGGTGTTCAAGCAGTGCGATTATTGGAGGGCTTCAAGGCAGGTCATTCTCATTGGTTCACATCAAGGTAGAACGATGCCATTGGCTTACTCTCATTGGCTGGTTAATCAGCTACAGGCGAGGTATGACCAATCTTCTCCGAGCTGCTTCAGAGAGAGAGAGCTAGCTTCGAGAGCTGCTACGGGCGATTTGTGTAACGCGCCTCAGTGTCACGGGCTCGACCGAAATGCCAACCGCACTACGAGTGGACTCATTGATTTTGGTCGTCCACAGTTTTACATTTACGGTATCAGGCTGTGGTTCTGGAACATTGGTGCAAATAACAGTTAAAGCATCGTGATTTCTTGTTAGCTGCAGGTCTGAGGGTATTAATTGACATCGTTTTAAACGGTTTGGTTGGTTGTGGAAGCCGCGTCACCCCCCATCTTGATCGGTGCTGTCATTGCAGTCAGGGGCATTCTCGCCGGCATTTGCATCGAGGCAACTGATGCCCTACTTTACTGTACGGTGGACAAACTCGGGCTCGGAACTGCCACCATCTCTACTGACTTGACGTGAGCTGAACCTCTGAAAAAAGTGGAGACAGGCACTGTCGATGCTTGTCCGATTATGGGGGGGCCAGAGGATTTGGAGATAAAGACACTGCAGTGCGGTTGGAACACGTTATCCCCATCTTAAAGACTTTACTGCACTTCTATGGAGAGCACACGTAGCGTCGCATCTTGTTTGGAATGCTGGCTGTATGTTACCTGTCAAGCGCAAATCGTGAAGGTCGCTGCAACATCCAGGGTCAGGAATGAGACCGTTCTGAATGTCTGTCACACATTGGTCATCTACACGCTTGCGCACACGATCGTTATTATAGATTGGTAGGCTGAACGACCGATGGGAGCGGCATGTCTTCGAAATTCGAGAACAGGCTGGATGTTCGCGAAGCTAGCGATAAATGATGGGCAAACAATGTAGTACAAATAGTTTCGCAGCGGCTTAGTAAAACATCGTATATGAGCCAATCGGGGTTTACTGGACGCCTCCGAGATTACTCTACCGAACGGAATAACACCGTTGAGCAAATAAGCAAAATGCGATAAGTTTTCACGCGTGAATTTGGGTACCAAAACTGGAAATACAGTTATACTGCGTAAGTTTAAACTTGCGATTAGTGGGCAGTTAACCGTCCGAAACGCGGTTAATATATTTGGGACGTCATAATCCCTGGATAACACTTTCAAGAACGGTATCGATTGCGCCTGACTTAATTAGGAACAAAAGATGCATCCGGGCTAAATGAACAAATGCATATAACCTATAGGCCAACAGCTCTTTCAGTTCATTTTTCTTTCCGGCCCGAACAAGTGCCGCGTGTTTGTGAATAACCCTGGTTCATCGACCAGCCGAGGAAACTAGCGAAACAATTCGGGTGCACTTGTGTCGCATAAACTTGAAATTAGTGTTCGTTTAATTAAATTAGGCAATAGCATGAATAAGTTGTGAAGTTTATGAGCTCTCTTTTATATAACAGGTTCTCGCATTGTCAAGGAATACGCAATTTATTTATTTATATGTCAACTGATGTGGGTACTCTAGACGGGACTGTGCCAGCATTCCTAAAAGATTAAGTTTCCCAACAAGGTTTAAAGCCACCGAGGTGCATGCAATAGGCCGATACTTACCCACCCCTTTCCTCTGTACTGGCGTTATGCTAGCAATCCTACAAACATCCGCAATTTTTCCTTGCTTTAGGCACATTGTGTACAACTCATAGAAAGGCTGGGCTAAGGAAACCATCCACTGTTTGTGAACGACAAAAGACAACCTATTAGATCCGCTTGCCTTGTTTAAGCTGAGTAAACTTCTTGTGCAGTGATGCAACGTCAACAGGAGGCAGTGAGTCCGTAGACTACTGAAACGGTGCAGATGATGAGTTAGAGAGTCACTGCTGGCGCAGCAGAAATTATGAGTTACTTCATCGACGTCCACGTTAGAAGTTGTGCTCTGACGGATGAATCCGCTGAGTTGCTTCATTATTCGCCAAATCATCCGGCAACTGTTGTTTCCCAGAATTGTCTGGACATAAACATGATTGGTGATTCACTTCCTCCCTAATAGGAGCAGAAATGGACTTCGCTAAGGCACGAGCACTGACTCTGAAAGCTCTCCCCTTGAGACTACGAAGCTGCTTGAGATGGGATGAAGAAAACCAATCAGCACGGATGAAAACGGTTTCTCTCGGAGCGTTTGACGTCCAGGCGAGTTCAATTTCCTTTGAACCACGGGCAAGGCAAGTGAAGAAACAGTTGGTACAAGCGTAGTCAGTATTCTGATCGTTCACGAAGAACTGCACCCAAGAATGCGACAGTATCTAGGCTGTCAGTACCAAGACATGTATTAGGCACCTGCTCCAAAGTCCAAATGAATTCAAAGAACAATCTGCTGCTAATACATTGAGCTGATTATATTTTGAAGGTTAAAGGTGCGTGGAGAAAGAAACGGTGGAACAGGTTCTCTCATACGTAAAATTCCAATGACTCCAGACACAACATATAAGCACCCTGTGACGAATAGTTGATTAAGGAACCGCAGTGTTCAGACTGCTTGGTAAACGTTCGGAAAGAGCAGCTTGCTCAGTGGCTGTGGTACTGAGCTTCCCATAGGACAGATCCCGTAGGTCAAATGACAGCGACAACAATAAGATGGAAGCGAGTACAAAACCCATTCGCCTTGGGTAGAACGAATTCACTCGAGCTGTCGAGGGATTGCGAATAGTGGGACGCTTGTAAAGCAGTGAGAACTAGTTGGGGTCAGCGCGCTTCACTGAGACATTGGTTGGATTAATCCAACAAAAGGTACAGTTGAGAAGGGGTCCTATCGATGTCAGAGGTCGTGTGATGCAATAAGGTGCATGTCAAAAACAGAAACAGTGAAGCCCAACCATACTGGTGGGTAGTGCGTACAAGTTAGTGCGACAAAATGTGGCGGATTCGTAATAACTAAATGAAGTGTCGGTTATACACGAGCATCAACGAAAGGAGCGTGTCCGATGTCCGTACAACCATCAAGAGAGGTGGTTGGGATATCAATTGAAATGGTGGCGAGATGGGGGGTGTCAAATAGAATTCGGCAGTGTAGCTTACACGTAATGGAGAAAAGGACACTCGAACGGAATACACGAGTGGCCATTTATTGGTCGCGTCATGTGTTATGTATGCTAAGTAAATGGGATAACCGCGACACATAAATGGGTATAATCGACAGTTAAAATGAGGATTTAAATGCAAGTAAACGACAAATTATCTGGGATACCTCCTGCGACGTTTGTTCGCAGGAACGGCTACAGATGCAACGGGAGAATTGTCCAAAAAATTGCACAATAAATTACGGGAGTCTTGGTCGGAGTTGTGATAAAGTCGAAGTAAAAGATTGGGTGGTGGGGTAGGAGGTAAGTGCTCTTCGTCGCTAGCATGCAACACACTCTCTTGATCATCCAATGGTTGCGAAGTAGACGCCGCCGGCGAAACAGAACCAGAACAATTACCGTCACCGTGAACAACGCCAAGCGCGGAATTGGTGTTGTTGCTATTTAGGGTAACTGTATCAGGTGACTTCTTTTGACAAGGTGCTGCACATATTCCAGTGGTGTGCCGCTGAGAAGACAGCTGGGCTGTCGCATGAGCTCGAAGGGCAGGAGGCAGAGAGTCCGGGTTCATGAAACACGCCTTCTTGTGAGACTGCAGCATGTGCAATGGTCCGACGAAATCGCAACCAAGCGGGCGCCATGGACAGGCAACCTGCAGAGAGATAAGAGACAAGGGAGTGTCGTCAATCACAAGCCTTGGAATTGATGACCCACTATAGTGCGAATTGTCGGAAAGCAGAAAAGCATTAGTAGCGTCCCGATATGTTGCACTGACGACCGGTTGCCGCACGGCCACTGAAAGTCAGACAACTGGTAACCCAAGGACAACGCGAGATCGCACCCATCCAAAAAAGGCATCAGCAGTACGCTGGTGCGACGCATCACTGCCGCACGACCAACAGTAGCCGCGTGCGCAGGCCAGGGATACTGTGAGGTCGTTCGCGCCAGTACAGACTTGAGCCGACGACCTTCGGGTTACAAGGCAGACGCCTTACCACTTCAATCAACAGATAGGCTCAAGTAAGCAGAAATTTATATATCTGGTTTCTAGCTTAGGTATTCCCCGAGATAAACTCGCCCACTAAATACGGAAACAGGGTAAGTGTGCTGTCTCCAGTGTAAATAAATCAAGAAGCAATTACGGGGTAGTAGATAGTAATCATCGAAAGAATCGAAAAGCATGAAACCAACGGTCCATTCGAGTAACTGAAACCGAGAAGGGATAGCGTGATTACATGCGTACGTACGATCAAACAGTTCGGGGCTCAGGGGATGTGATAGACACATGCCATTGGCGAAATTGGGGAGCGTGATTACCCGTCTTTACTAGAGTCGGGATTGCTGTCAAAACCAGTGTCAGCTGTGTTTGAAAAAAAACGATTAGCAGACAATGTCGAAAGAGGAAGGTTCACTTCAATGGAAATCGCGGTCAACATTGAGATTGTGAGTCAAAATCCATCCATACAACGTGTACTTCAAAATGACCCATAAAATTTCTTCCGCGTATTAACACCGCGTGGCAACTCATGCTCCTTAGCAACACTCACTTCTTCCACAGTTCATACAGTACGCCTCTATGCCACTGATAAACGATTTAAAAGGCACCTTTGCCTTTGGTTGGGTCTGTAAACGAACTCCTGCTATCGGGCCTCGGTTTAATCATGCGAAGTCACGCGTTTCTTCCAAGGGCACAGCTTGAGCATACACCCGTCTGTGGAGCAAGTCCCTTAGGCCGTGCCGATCTGAATTAAATAGGCTACTCTACAGGTATGGTACCACAGGTGAGGAGAGTTTCGTCCGTTCCGACTGGGAGAGTAGAAACGACGGGACAGTTATGACAAATACCACGAAGAAAACTGGTACGGACAATTGCCCAATATGTGATCGTATAATAAAAGTAATGCACAATTAAAATGAAGGAAAGGAACGCTAAGGTAGGATGCGGAGTTACATACCACTGAATCCAGAAGCGGGAAATCACGTGTAGTTACTCGCCAGTAAGCAGGGGAGGAAAGACGAGGAATCAAGTCGAAATCGATGCCATACTGCAGAGACGAGCTGTTTGGCGAAAAGTCCAGGGCATTAACTCAGTCTCGAAGAGGTTTGTACCAACAATCTCTTCTGTATATACTATCTGGTGAGGGCTTAGTAGAGACTAATGTAATAACTAGATATGGCGGGTCAGTGCAGCTTACACGACAGAGATAATCCGACATACCTTTTACTCTCTCGACCGAGCTACAGACCGATTAGTCGGCTCGCTGACCGCGTGTAGTCGTCTTTCGACCAAATATGTGGTATTAAGTAGCCAGGTGGGCACATGTATAGCAGTTTACAGTGCCAACTGCAGATGATCTAAAATAGCATCAACAGCAGGGTAACCACCGTGTAAATGGGAAAAGTGTACAAAAATCCCCCGAGTCAACGGCGCCGCATCACCCTAGTGACTTTCGCTGGAAGAATGAACAGGTGTTACATGTGCAGATAATACAAAATTATGATACCAAATAGTGCGAAAATATAGCACTCTAGATATAAACCGCACATGAAGAGCTGATAGTGTTTATGCCACGTCCGATGAGTGCACAGTAGTGGAAGGTCGTACAAGTTATCGACCCGGTCTAATACAAATTGATGAGTTAGTGAATCTGCTTAGTGTGATGCTTCAGAGATTCTAGAGTGACTTTCCTGACGCAAACCTTGAGAGGCGTTGAGTTCCGCAGACCCTTATCCAGTCGCCCTGTGGTCACATGTTGCGAAAGAAAATAGCGCAATCAGTAGTGCTTCATATCATCCATAACCAAGTGGCGTATGTGGTTTTCTCGCGAGGCCGATTAGATAAGGGCGCAATTCAAAATATGCACACTACGACCTGGCAGGTGTATACTCGTAGACTATGGCCAGCGACCCAATATCACGATTGCCCAGATCGAGCGAATAGGCGCAACTTTGGTGTGGTTCTGACGTCGATAAGCGATCCTAATTCGAACTTAGCCATCGTTCACGTAGAGCATCGAGGTTCAGGACAAAGAAAAGCGTGCCTCGAGTGGAGGTTTCATGTCGTAGATAAAGAACGGATTGAGCTAAATTTCTGACCGATGTGACTAGCGTTCATCGCAGAGATCGGTGCAGTAGTGGGAAGCATTTGATAGACAACCACTGAGTCCCATGTCCGACTTATTTAGTTCTATCTCCAATTAAAGAGTTCAAACGATGATGAAACTGATCATAAAGTGCAGCGCTTGCAACTAGTCTTGCGATTCACGACGCTATATGGTCGCTGAAGAGTCACTCAGTGAAACATAGTGGCCCCGGGCAATCTGCTATAAAAACGTTCATTAAAGAGCAAAAATGTTCTTACGCTCTAGGACAGCGGTCAGCTTGGATCATGATCGCATCGGGTGGAGCATGAGGATCGTGATTTGCCAATGGGTAAGTGTAAAGGTGTTTTGCAAATGCAGCAACATTAGACTCTATTCGCGGCTCCGATGCTTGGGTTTAACACGCATTTGGATTCGAATAGTAAACAAATGTCCCCCTTTAAGAGGCTAGGGTACAGTGCCGAGTGCGGAATCCGGTTTCCGAATGAACCCTATCGGTGTAAAGTGGGACAAATGAGTCAGAAATTGTGGTGTTCCGCTGCTGTCACCGCTGCGGATTTGATGGTTCCTGGTGTGGCGTCGCATTTCGGCGTTCTCTGCTAGCCACCCATCTACCGCCACAGTAGTGAGGTTGATTCGCAGATGATATACCGTTGCTGAACCTCTTGGTCCCTGAAATTGCAAAGAGGCTGCTTAGCATCACATTCCCGGTCCATGGACGGCGTGGGAACCGTAGAGATCCGGCAACCAGCAAACGGTGCATTGCTTATGGGACTATGTAGGTGACAATTTCGTAAAATAAAATGGAGGCAAAAGAAAGGTGGTGCTTTTTGCAAGTCAAAACACACAAGCGAAGCTCACTCTGTTGGGTAGGATAACGACACTTCGAGGTATACCACAGTCACAAGCGACGGCTGTGACTGAATTTGGTGGTTTGGTCGAAAGGACTCGAACGAAGTAAGAAGACAGAGTCAGTCAAGCAACCGGCAGGGTTACCCAGTGTCCCCATTTTTGTTCAACTTCGTCGTGTTCCCTTGCGGAGCTTCACGATCCACGCGTTTAGTTGCTGCATGGTGAAAGGTTAGTTGATCATTATTATACAGACGATATTGTCTTGCTGTTTAACGATGTTGGTGTGCCTCTCTCTAGTAGTCCCATCACTTAGTATGCGCTCCCCATCTTCAAAGTTCAGAGGGTTGTTGAAGAATCACCAGTCCCTTGATACCCCCTGACTCTTGAGAGCGATGAACTTGATGTAGGTGAACAATTCACTCATCTTAGCAACTGCATCAGCAACGATGTGCGTATAACCACTGAAACCAGTTCACGTATTGCAAAAGCTAGAACTGTCTTCTTGAATCCGCGACATCTGGGGCGTCAGAGAGTGGTTTCCCTCGAGCTGAAAAGCCGTGTCTATAAGGCTACAGTGAAGGCCGTACTACCGTAGGGTAGTGAGGACTTGAAGCGCCTTCGGTTCTTTGATTAACGAAGAAAAGGTGTTATCAATAAACCTTACTCAGGCCTGCGCAAGTATATGCAGAAAACAGACCAAAAAATGTAGACACAGCACAAGGACCGGTAAAACACACAGTTTACAACAACTGATCACTGCTAAACACTGTCCAAGTCCCAAGTGTAGCACGTGCACAATTCCTTGGTTCAGATGGGGCAGTTCGTTTTGGACAAGTAAAGCACAGCGTGAGAGTGAGCCTTTTCTGGACACATAATCCCGGCTCGTATAGTCTGATCGCTAAACTCTCAACCGACTCAAATAAAGGCATTCGAACGCACTTTGATCGATTATCAGGTGGTTGGTAGATGAACGACTCAGCTAGATTGGGGGAAGGGCCTATGTCGGCTAGATGCATGGCTATGGTGGAGTTGGTTGATATTCGGCAATCAGTCGCAAGCAAGGCCGGATGGTGTCCCCTCATTCTGTTAGACAGGCGCCTTGTCGCAAGGCGAAGTTCTTCATGAATCGTGTACTCAGTAGCTGGAATAAGCTACATCTAGCAGGAACAGAGTGCAACCAAGTTGAGGTCTTTAAAAGAGGCCTAGATAGGTATTGGTCTGAATTTGTTCTAGAATTATTGTAATTGCATTGCATCATGTGGTTGTAACCTAGTACTGCATGACAGTACAGAGAATGCTCTCATTTTTGCTTCAAGATTTTGCAAAAGCCGCAGCAGTTAATCAGACGTCGAAGTACCGGTAGCTCTAGTTCGCTTAGCGGTGCAAGAAACAGGACGCTCGTTATGCGGAAGCCTGTATCGTCCTTGGAAGCTGACCTGACCTCACCTGCTCCACAGGAACAGGTGAAGGAATAGACGCACATAGATTTGGCGTGGACAGGATTTTTGTCTTTTGGGCTAGTTTACACCATCGGGTTATTGGCAAATTGTGCCTGAGAGCGTGAGAAAGAAGACGAGTAAGAAGTTCGGCAACAATTTCGCGTTTGTACGGTAATTGCAGAAAAATGGGTTTCTTTCCGGCTAAGAGGTACAGGAGCTTTCCTCCTTTGATCCGTGTTGGATTTAACGAAACTATCCGA